TCGTAGGTAAATCTTTGCGATACTAGTGCTGAGATATTACATGACCAAGCAATGACATATGTGACATGGCCGGGTCCATGCCGATCCATGCATAATATTGAATACATTAACTTGAAACGCTGACAGAAACCCATGAATTGCGTGTTGGGAAAATGCATAATTTTTACATTGAATTTTTTTAAAATTGTTATTTAGTTTGTGTCGGGAACACAATGATTCACACCGGTGTAACTTCAATGGTACATTTTCAAATTATAGCGCTGATGGCGCTAGCATTCGAAAACACTTTCCTACGATTATAAACCGAGCAAAGAATTGTCGTTTTTCTTCGTCATTTCACCGATCGCGAATAATAAAGGTAAAATTCCACGATTCGTGGCAGGTAAATATTGCATTTAATGTGTCACGAGATGGTATCATTTCACAACCACATGAAATAATTTGATTGATTCACGATTCTCAAAAAATATAATCTGCCAATCACGGTCGTCCCTCCTCTCTCATTCACCGATTTACGCAGTGAAGCACATCGTCGATAGAGGACGCGATTTATAAGAAAGGTGTGTGTCAAACCTCTATTTTACGCTGTGGTTACCATAATTCCGGTAAAAAAGTAAAGTCACCTCACTATTTTATAATATGTCAAATCTCTATGAAAATGGGGAATTCTGTAGTTGCTATGCTAAAAATGTCTCATTATTATATCTCAAAATTGTGTTCGGTCACCTAAAAAAACATCCTTTGAATTATTATGATGAGTACTCATTCTGTAAAGAATTATTAGAAAACTCTTATGATTAATATTTATTTTTATGGCATAGTGATTTAACATGGATTCCCATTAAAGTTTCACTTTTCCATTGTTTCAGACAGTACTATTTACATTGTGCTTTATTTAACCCCGTTGATACAACAAAGTATGATACCATTTTGCTCCTGTTTCATACTGATCCAGAATATGTATATATGTGTTCGATATTTCAGTTTGTTGTATGTAACAGTACATTGGTCTAAAGACGAACAGTTTTTTTACGTAAATTGCCCGTTTTATTTATCTCGAGGTTGGATCAAAATAATAGAAATGAGGGGCCGCTATGATCTTATTGTTTGGCAACTAAAACAGATCATTAAAATAAAAATTAATGATAAATAAAATAATAATAAAATTATAGACTTCTAGTTATAACTATGGTAGAATAAGCTTTCATGACTCAAATATAATTGATAGTACGGTGATATTGATAACTAAACTTGCTTAAGAGCGTGAGCATTGAGTGTTGGGCGATGACGTACAGGGACGCCAGTAATCTACCGAACTTCAATGAGTCTGAGCCTCGATATTTTTGTGTTCAGTTCTACTTTTAATAGCATACACACATTGGCTATGCGTTATGTGTTCACTGCCTTTAATTAACAAATGATAATTTCTCATATCAATTACAATAATTGAGTATTATAAACAAAAGAC